CACTTCCCATCCTGTGGCCTGGTGTTGTGAGCTAAGGAGTTGATTAGTGCTCGTTTTGGAATGGGCAGGAATAGGAACTGGGGTTGTGGCTAAAAACACCTGGACTAATTGGACACGTCATCTGTATCCACTATCCTGCTAAATGTATGCTTATAAGGAGGTGAAGGATCAATAAAGCCAGACTTTGCAGAGACTTCTACCATCACTGTTGGCCTGTCAGTGCTTCATCCCCAGACCCTCTCCCTGTCCATGTTACTGACTCTGCTGGTCAGAGCAGCCTGGGAAAGCAGTCCAGGACAGCCCAAAGCCTTGGGACCCTGCCCAATTCTTAAATATGTCGAGACCCCATACTGGAGCCTGTTCTAGTCCCGGGGGCGGAGCAGCCCACTTTCCATCCAGTTCCCTGCTTGTAACCTGGGAAAGCAGTCGAGGATGGGAAAGCAGGCTCCAGCGATTGTGGCCGCTTGGGAAAGAGAGCCACCGGACAGAAGATCTTCCTGTCTCTATAGATCTGCCTTTCCAATAGCTTTCAACTCTAGTTTCCCTTGCACTGCCAACAAGTAAATAATATACTTCAAGCGTGAGAGAGCAGTTGCCTTAAAGCAGTAAAAGGCAGCCCAAAGCCTTGGGACCCTGCACACACGTGGGAGACCTGGAAGAGGCTTGTGGCTCCTGGTTTCAGATCAGCTCATCTCTGGTTGTTGTGGCCACCTTGGGCAATCATCAGATGAATTATCTGCTTCTCTGTATATCTCACTTTACAATATATATAAATCAATCTTGGGCCGATGCAGTAACCTAGCAGTCAATGCACTTGCACTGAAACCACATAGATCCATGTGGGTGCTGAATCTACTCCTGGAAGAATAGATCCAGATCCCTGCTTGTGGCCTGGGAAAGCTGGATGGCTCAAGGCCTTGGGACCTGCACCACTTGGAAGACCTGGAGGAGCCTCCTGGCTTCTGATCAGCTCAGCCCCAACTGATAAGGCAGCTTGGGAAGCGAGTCAACAGAGGGAAGCTCTTCCTCTCTTTCCCCCTTCTTTCTATACACCTTACTTTCCAAAAATTTTTAATTTTTAAAAATAATTATCGGGCCCAGCACGATGGCGCAAGTGATTAAGGTCCTCGCCTAGCACGCCCGGGATCCCATATGGGCGCCGGTTCTAATCCCGGCAGCCCCACTTCCCTTCCAGCTCCCTGCCTGTGGCCTGGGAAAGCAGTCGAGGACGGCCCAAAGCTTTGGGACCCTGCACCCGTGTGGGAGACCCGGAAGAGGCTCCTGGCTTCGGATCGGCATAGTATCAGCCCGTTGCGCTCACTTGGGGAGTGAATCATCGGACGGAAGATCTTCCTCTCTGTATATCCGCCTTTCCAATCAAAAAATAATAAAAATAAATCTTTTAAAAAAAAAAATAATAATTATCTTCACTAACAGATATAGGTTTCTCTGTATGCCTTTGTGTATTAGACAAAATCACTCTGTAAAACATGACCTGGTGAGCAAGACAGGGCATTTAAAGCCTACCTAAAAACATGAAACACCTGAGAATGCCAAGGAAATGCTCCCATTTCCTCTTGCTTTAAAGAGTATAAGGAGTCTGGCCAAAGCAGCCTATACGAACTCATAAAGTCATAAGGGGCACAACAGATCACATGTCAGTCAGAGTAACTTATCAAATGAATGTCAAGTAACATTTCTCAAACATCACGCTTCAATAGAATCATTCATAACATTTAGGATATACTATTGGAGAGGGATAAAGGAAATACAAATTTCTGTTAAAAACAGAACTGCTATCACAATTTTCGGAAAGGTCAACAATGGCTGCCTTTGATTTGGCGTGAAAATCGGAGCTAAATTAACTGACAGGCAAGATTAGTCTGAGGAAACACTTTGGAACTTGGAAGTTGATATGGTTGATTCTAGAAAGCAACCAGGTAAATAAGTGGGCTCTAACAGCAGGTCTGAAATGGCCCCGCAAGTAGACAGTGCAGCTAAGAATCTACACAGCACACATAAGGAGAATGAGCAGCCAAAAGTCACAAACGCCTAACTGCAAAGTAGAAAATGCTTCACGAAAACCAGTGGCAGAAGCACTGTTAAGGGTTTGGGTCATCCTCTACTGCTTTTCCAGGCCATAAGCAGGCGCTGCATGGGAACTACAAGAGCTGGAACAGGTACCAGCACCGCTATGGGATACCATTGTCTGAAGCAACCGAGCCATTAACGTTTCACCCAAGATTAGGGTTTTAAAAGGACTATTTGGTGGTGTCTCTCCCTCCTCTTTCGAGAGGCACCCTACCTCTTGGCTTTCTCTCTGGAGATGCTTTCCCTTCCCTCTCCCCTGCTCACCTTGTCCCTTCACAAATAAACTTTTTTGTCTGCAGCAGAAAAAAAAAAAAGGACTATTTGGAGCTAGTGTTGTGCATTAAAGCCAAACTGGCAACATTTCATTCTCTAGTTCACTCCCAAAATCACAACGGGCCAAGAACCTCACCTGAATTCCCCACATGGGTATAGGGACCAAGAGATTTAGACCAGCTTCCACTGCAGGACACTGGATTTGAAGTGGAATAGCTTTGGGACCCTGCACCCGCGCGGGAGACCTGGAAGAGGAGAGGCTCCTGGCTTCGGATCGGCATAGCATCAACCGTTGCGCTCACTTGGGGAGTGAATCATCGGATGGAAGATCTTCCTCTCTGTCTCTCCTCTCTGTATATCCGCCTTTCTAATAAAAATAAAAAATACTCTGGCATGATCTGGCCTTGATGTAAGACTAAACAATGCAAACCATCTCTTAAAAAGTATTCAGGGTCCAGTACAGTGGCTTAGCTGTTAAAGTCCTCGCCGTGAATCTGCTGGGATCCCATATGGGCGCTGGTTCTAATCCTGGCAGCCCTGCTTTCCATCCAGCTCCCTGTTTGTGGCCTGGGAAAGCAGTCAAGGATGGCCCAAAGGCTGGGACCCTGCACCCACGTGGGATACCTGCAGGAAATTCCTGGCTCCTGGCTTGGGATTGGCACAGCACTGGCCACTGCTATCACTTGAGGATTGAATCATCGTATGCCAAATCTTTCTCTCTGTCTCTCCTCCTCTCTATATATCTGACTTCCAAATAAAAAAAAATAAGTATTCCCCACTGCCATTAGCATCTGCAGAGCACATCTTGTACTAACAGCAGAGAAAGGAGGGCAGAGCAAATTGATGAACTACCCCAGCCAAGCTCTGGTAGCAAATATCTGGGTAAATGCAGACTCTCATGTGGACTATATTAGCTAATGGACATTGGATTTCCTTATCCTTTGATAGGCAAGACAGCATTTTAGAATTACTGAAATCAAGTAAGCAGAACCCTGACAGCATGCTCCACAGCATCAGGTGATATCAGGTGGCCGAATTTGGTATCTTCCCTTATCTGACCCCTTCCCCAACATACAGAAGGAAAAGGATTAATTTGGAAACAATATTCTCACCCACTTTTCCCTAATTCTTGGCCTTTCACACACTGATCAACTATATAACATCAAAAATTAATTTTAACCTTCCATTGCACCCACATCCCTTATGGGCACTAACTAGTTTTGGTCCTCGACGGTCTACTTCTGAACCAGCTCTCTGCTTTTGACCTGGAAAGCTGTGGATGGTGACCCCAGTGTGGTACCCTGTACTCATTTGGGATGCCCACAAGCAGCTCCAGGCTTAGCTGGCCAATGGCATCCATTTGAGACATTAACCAGTAGGTGGATATCCTATTATCTCTACAACTCTCCCTCATTCTCTGTAAAATCTGCTTTTCAAATAAAAATAATCTTCAAAATACAAAGAACCCCAAAAGCATTCCCCAAATGTTTTTACAGGACCTGTATCGTACTTTCCTGTGAAATGGGTCTTGAACAACTCTCCCAAACCTTAGGTGAGGATTGAAATGAGAATATAAGCCAAGGACCACACAAACATCTGTCAGTATAGCAAGTACTTGGTCCATGTTCCCATTTATTTTATTGGAAAGGCAGATTTATGGAGAGGAGGGACAGAAGAATCTTTCACCCACTGGTTCTCTACCCAAATTTGCAGAGCAAATTTGAAGCCAGGAGCCAGGAACTTCTTCCAGGTCTCCCTCTTAGGTACAGGTTCCCAAGGACTTGGGTCACTATCCACAGCTTTACAGGCTTTGGGGTCATCCTCTACTGCTTTTCCAGGCTACAAACAGCTGGATGGGAAGTAAAGGAACAGCCAGGACACGAACTAGTGCCCATGTGGGATCCTGGCACTTTTAGGAAAGAGCATTAGCCAACTGAGCCATTTCCACCAGTCCCAGGTTGCTAAAAATTTTAACTTTACCCTGAATCTTCATATTATTCTGAAGACTAACACCACTGATCTATTCCTATCACCCTCCAGAACACACCAAATTCCTAAATAGCTAGCTGTTTTGGGGTCATCACTTCAAGAGTTTAGCATTAAATCTTCACATTATTCCCAAGACTAATCTGTAATGACCTCTTCTATCACAATCAGGAATTGTTCCCGATTTGGATGCCTAAATTAACCCTACTTCTCTGCTTCTGCAAATGAAAAACCTCTAAGCCTTTTCTCAAATTTTTAAAAAAAATTGCAGTTAGTATTGAAATATCACAGCATCTCTCCTTGAATTTGATTCATGTTAATATTTAAGGAGCTAATGCTTAATGCACTCAAAAACGTTGTCACAAACCCCAGGATTACCCAAAAAAATTGACAATTTTTACTAATGTAAACCTAACAAAATTTCCTGCTCTCTCAGATTACTGAAACATTCTCAAATCAGCCCAACTTAATTGGAAAATTGTTATTATTCCCTAGGTTTATAAACAACTGGGTTGTCTCCCTTGGCAAACTCAAAATAAGCCCACAAAAAGCTTAACTCAAATACTTCTGGAGACTGTACCTAGACCACATCAACCAGAATCTATTTCCTAGCCTTTGCAATGAAGCCAAGTGGACCTCACACCTCTTACCATCACCCAGGAAGGGTGTACATCTGTTCCGAAGGCCCCCCTGGCTCCAGGTCATCCTGGCTGCTGCTGCTCCAGGCTGGGCATCCATGTTGCTGCAGCTTGTGGTTTGTGAGGGGTAGTGTACAGGAAAAGCAGGATGGGGTTTCAAGGGAAACAGGAGGAAGATGGCTTTCCGGGAAAATGCCATCATCATCATAGGTGTTAAATAGTACCACACACATTTTATTGCAGCACAGTTTAAAAATTTAACAAATCAAAGATTAAAAATAAAAAAAATAAAAATAAAAAAAATTAAAAATACAGACGTCCAGAGATGCTCTAAAACAGTTAAGTTAAAGATCAGGAAAAATAAGGTCACAGACTTAACAGCCAGTAAAATTATTTTCAGTGTAGGGAAGGGGTTGAGGGGTTGGGGGGTGGGGTTGGGAGAGAAAAGGTTTATGTGATCAATCCACTTAAAAATGCTAATGCCTTCACTTTCTCTCCCAAGATACAAAACTCCAAAGTCAATCAGGAGGTTGTAGAAATTCTCACAAACACTCAGAAAAACTCGATCTTAATCCGGTTAAAAATCATTAGTGTCATTATCATCATCATCATCACCATCATAAGTATAATAGTAACTAGTAACAACAATAAAAAGGAAATCAGCGGAAAGTCAGGAAAAATGTAAAAAAAAAATTGGTATAACTTACTGTAGCTGAAGATCAAAAAAATCTCACTGTAAAAAAACAAAAATAAAAATAGCCCAGATTAGAAAAACGGGATGTGCAAAAATGTCAAGTCAATAAAGTTCATTTCTTTCCAAAAGCAGTTTCCATAAAAACCGCAAGGGTGAAGTTCTCAATAGCAGACAAGCAAAGCCCTTTCCACATCATCAATCAATCTTAAAAATACACGAGGAAGTAGAGAGGTCAGTTTATGAGAGACTAAAAGGCTCCTCCTCCTCTAACCCAACTGCTGCAGAAAAAATACAAATAGAAATTTTAAAAATTACATCTTATATCCAGGTCCCGTTTTTGGAAACAATAAAAAAAAAAACACCTGTAAATTTGCTGTAGTGCACACCAAGTTGCATTATGTTTAAAATGTCTTTATAAAATCAATTTTAGAATGGGAATGTGTGTGTTCTGGAAGGGAGGGGAAAGGAGGTTAAAAATCAAAGCTGAGCTCCAGTGAGTAGGGATGGGGTTCGCCTTGCTGCCCTGTGAAAGGAGAAGGGACAGATTGAGTCAGAGTTCCTCAGAAATGTTGTGCCCTAAACCCCCAAGACAGAAACATCTGTCTATTGAATCTAGCACATTTTGGAAAGCATTATACTTGAACGGGATGAGGAGTCTTTAGAATCGGCACCTCTACCAGGGACTGTATGAAATTGTGACTGGAAGTAAATAACATGTCAGCATTCCCTCAAGGGTCTCGAAAAGAGTGCCTACGTTTAAACATTTTTCTTTAATCAGCAGTTTGGGCAAGGAAATACGGAAAAATTAGGCAATGAATAGTGATGAAGTGAACAAACATTAAACACTGACATTATGATGGCAATTAGACTCATAAGCTTTAACATTAAGTTCATGTAGTTTTTCCTGCAATACAGACTGAAGGAAAATGATGCATCATGAAGACTGCTGATGATTCACCCATTCTCCAAACCAATGAGTGACCAAACTGTAAGACCTGACAGATTTTACAGTTGGGGAAAAAAATATTTTAAACAGGGAGTGTCTTATTCCATTCACTGTTAACATGAAAAACCACATGGATGGAGGGGAAAAGAGATTATGCAACTGAATATGCACATTAACATCATAAAACAGGTGAAAAATGTATGGTCCTTATATAATTTATTATTTCTGTAGTTCATGGTTCATCAACTAATATACAGTTGCAGGAATGTTGCGCATAAATCCACTTAAAAGTAACATACGTGACACAAAATTTTATCACTTAGAGAACTGCAAATAGACTAACTTGTGAAAAGCATGAATTAATTGCATACATATTTCAATATTTAGTTGTAAATCTTTATATCAATAAACTAAAAAAATTAAATTGGAACTTTCTTACAAATGTTCAAAGTGATTGTGTATCAATGATTATAAATGGAATATCTGTAACTCAAATTTCAACTGCATAATTTTAAAAAGTCCAGTTCAGGCACTAATTATTTCCCCATTTGATGCATAAAATGTACAATCACATGTTATGTGCTTCAAGTTAGTATCTGAGAAGTAGGCAAGATTGCATGTACCAAATTTTCAGGATACGGAGTGGGTGTTTACACATCTATTGCCCACATTACAGGCTTACTAAGCTTCTCAATACGCAGAACAATTGGACTGCATTTGGCTCTTTCAACCCTTTCCTGACTCAATCTTGCTTTTCTAAGCATTTTGGAAGTAAACCAACGGACAGGAGCTCCTCAAGAGAATTTTAACCTCATGATATGCAAACTTTACTACTGTTTCACAAGGCCCAAGACATAAACACTTTAAAATAATAAAGTGAAAAATAAGAATTTTATCTTGTAGTATACAGAAGTTAACCCACCTTCCAAGACAGTAAGTAAATTCAACTGCTGTGCTATCACACAGAAGAGACCCAACAACTAGGGGTTAATTCTAACACTTTCCAGCTTTACTCCTATATTACATTGAGAGATCTATAAAGGGGTACTGAATTATACCAGTCAAAAGTATCACTACTTTGCCATTATTAAATATCTGAGTCAACTGCCATCAGTGTGTGCCTGAGCCACTGTGCAGCTTGTAAATGGGTAACCTCCACCCTCTAGCTATCAATTCTGTAAGCACGCTGTGTATTAGAACAGCAGTTGGAGCACTAAGGCTTCAAATATTTTCTGAATCCAAAAGGAAAAAAAAAATCTATGATAAACTGTTTTTAAATTCCCCAAATTTCCTACAACTAGTAGTACTGGTTTAGTCAATCACTTAAGAAAATGTAGTTTGTACAAAGCATAATCTTCCTGTTCCCAGTAAGTATATATTCAAGAATGAGTTAATAAAGCTCCATAAAAGTAACCAAAAAAAAAAATCATTTGAAGATTGAAATAATCTTTAAGGCAGTTAATACTAATCTACAAAGCTGCTTTTTATCAAAAATGCTTCTGTGCATTTTTAATCTTCTGGAATAAACCACTAAAGAAAATTTTATGCTATACAACATTACCAGATTTGCACACTACTATCAAAAGGAGGGATTGAAAGAACTAGTTCCTACTATCAGAGCAAGATTCTTGGAACTGTTAAATTTCCTAGTTATTACCTTATGTTTACCACTTAATATTTTGAGAACTAGTTTTAGTCTTAAAGGACACTCTGTCCAAAACAAGGTCAACTACTATGTCAAGCCCTCTAGAGATCTGATTACAAACAAGCTAGCTTTAAATTCTCTACAGAAGGCAGGCAGTGAAGGTAGTGTTCAAAAGCTAGATCATAGCAACAAAAAGGTCAGAAATTTATAACCCGAGTCATCCTTTATTACACTATTCCTCTTTGGACATCACAAAAGTTACCAATGTTTACCTGAGAACACATCTAGCATGTTTCTGGTTTTAATTCAGGGGCCAGTTTAGTATATTGAGAGCAATTTTTGATACCTTCTACATTCTGACTCCAAGGGACAATAACTGTAACTGTCCATACTCATTTCTGACATTCCCCTCTACTTGCTAGTATTTTTAATTAATAAATGCTTTCTAAAATCAGGTGCTGTCTGTACGTTTCTGATCATTCAGCAATGATGAACTTTACTTTTAATTAAATGCCTAATATCACTTATTTTTATGTTCTACAAATAATGTTTTTTAAAAGGAATGAAACTGCAGTATTGGTTTAAGCTATGCGCAATAGTATTAGTTTCAGAGGTGAGAACACACTGAAAAACGAAAGCAGGCAAGTTCCCAAATAATTCATCTAATACTAAATGCCTAGGCAATTTTCCAACTCAGTATCTTCACCAGTTGTCAGCAACTTTCATATGGCAATATACTTAAACGTAACTGAGCATTTCTGTCCACAATTAGATGGACAAGAAAATTAATGCCAGATCATCTCGCAAAACTGATTTTTTCATCTGAGAAGTAACCATGGTAATAAATGCCAAGTTTCTTAGTTTTTTTCCTGGAATTGAGCTCGGGAATTTCCAATTACCTTGTGACCTTTGTAATTAGGGTCTTATAACAATTCAATCTGTTTAATAGGTCGTGTTCCGATAGCCTAGGTTAAACCATGTGACCTACCTATTGATTAAATTCCTCACTAGTTCTGCCACTAATTTAATGAGACTCGGCAACCAATACTCTCATGCCTCAGTCTCTTGCCTGAAAAGGATGATACCTACCTCAAGCAAAGTTCCACTAACTTATTTGAAGTGATTTGTAACCTGCAGACAAAAAGTTAAGTTAGCTGTAGTTATTGCGATTATAATAGATTAAAATATTGCCTTTGGCAACTATAACTAAATGACTGCTTCGAGATTCTTCATCTTCTCATGAAAAGTAAAACCAAAAAACAATCAGTAAAATACCGAACCTATTGTCAAATACCGTTTTAGACCATGCGGCACGTTCCGGAATTCGGTTGCAGTTACCTCTACTTAGCTGAACCTCCCCCACTCCCCGCCTGACTTTTTCATTTAAACAATCGAAAGTAATAAAAGGCACCGGTGCTGCATTCACTCCAACCACACATTAGTATGTAAATATTTTTTTTTCTGCGTTTCCATAGCTCTCCCGAAGTCCTCCGGATCGTAGAAACCAAAGGAAAGCAGCCGTTAATACAGAAGGGAAAGAAGGGAGAAAAAAAAAAAAGACGTTTCCCCGGCCGCTCGAGACGCAGGGGACGACGGTATGGTGAATCTGCGCAAAGGCTGGAGGCTGAGGCCTGTACATCTCGCTCCCGGTTCAAACCGAATTCCCAACGCTTAAAAGAATAAATGGGGGGCCGGAATACGCTATGGAGGCTTCCCTCGGCTTCTCTCCCTCCCCCACCGCCCACGTTCCCCGAGGTACCCAGCGCTTCCCCGGGGTCTACACCTCTACTTACCAGGAGGGGGAGGGAGAAGAGATTCGATTTTGAATCTCTCACTCCCGAGTTCGACGTGAAAAGACCGAAGCCTGCTCGAGCTCTGCGACAAGGCCACAACCGCTCAGTCTCCGTCTCCTCACAAAATGGCCCCCGAGTCTCCTCCGCCGCCGAGGCGAAGGCCTGGGCCCCGCCCCATCCCAGCGAACAATCTTATTGGCTTTCAGTTTTCTCGCTCCCGCTGCTAATTAGACAATTCTACCGCTCTTCACAGTACTATCCAATCAGGATCAGCAGTGGGTGAGACTAAGCTAGAGAATTTCCACATGCGTGAAAGAAGCTGGTTTGTAATTGGTTAACATTGCTGTCATTTATAGCCTGGGGAATGCTTATTGGCCACTGTACCAGACGAAGTGCTGGGTGGAAATTCGCCTTTGTATCGCGTACCGTTTCACATCCGGGTATTCGAAAGACATGATTGACGGCCTCACTGACCTATCGCCGCTCTTGAAAGTGCCTCGGGGATCGTGGGCCCACAGCCGGAATTCCCGCGGCGCGGGGGCGGGGAAGGGCGCGGGGTGGAGTCCTTGAGTTGGCGCAGGTGAGGTATGGTCGCCCCAGGCCTAGGAAAAACAAGAAACGCCAACTGATTCCTCCTTCGCACTGAGTGGGTAAAGAAAGGCCGTTTCTTTGAGTAAGGCGGGAACGGGGAGGGTGAGCTCTTGCTCAGCTGTAAGAAAGGAACATGTCCTTGCAGTATTTCCATCCGCACATCCCTTCGCAGTTCCTGACTGAATTCCTTTCCTCAGGCCCTTTCTCGAACAACAACGTAAATCCTGCCCAAACCGACTGAGTGCCCCGTTTCTCTTTAACAAAAAACAAAAGGGAAAGCGCTGGCCTGGAATACAAGGGCACCAATCCTCCGGACTCGAGTCGTTTCACACTTGTAAGCCATCACATTTGCCTGGCCCTCTAAATCTGAGCCCTAATCCTCAAATGGCCTGGTTCCACCTCCCCCTGCCAGTCACCGCCTTCCTGTCGTTCATACTGCAGAAGCCTCCCCCGCAAAAAAATAATCCAGTACTAGGAAGAGGGAGATTCCTCAGGACACATCTGATCTGTGATGAAGCGGATAAAGCAGGGTGCTGAGCTCTATTGTCATCTACCTTGGTATTCTAAGGGATTTATACATTTGCAAATGCAATTTTTCTTTCTGTTGACAAGAAAGCTAGGGGTGAGAGGGGGGTAAGAACCTTTTACATGTTCATCTGGATCACCGCTTAAAAAATATATTTGAGAGGCAGAATTACACAGAAGAAGAGAGACAGATCTTCCAAACACTGGTTTACTCCCAGAATCGCTGCTGGAGTTAAGCAGAAGCCAGGAACTTCTTCCCAGATTAGCACGTGCATCACAGGTACACAAATGCTTGGGCCATTGTCATTTTTCCCAGGCAAGGATCAACGAGTAGGATCCAAAAAAACGGGTCAGACGCAAACCAGTTTCCATAAAGGTTGCTGGCATTGCAGGAGGTTGCTTAATTCACCAGGTCACAATGCTAGCCACCAGGGATCCTTTGATTTTTTTGTCAGCTCAATGTGTTGCTTTAAACTTTTTTTTAAGAAGCTTACTTATTTGAAAGGCAGGGTAACAGAAAAGGGGGGCAGGTCTTCCATCGGCTGATTAACACCCCAAATGGCCGCATTCACTTGGACTGAGACAAAGCCCAGGAGCCAGGAGCTTCTTCAGGGTGTCCTACGTGGGTATTAAGATAAAGCAATTGAGGCCCTCTTCTGCTTTCCAAGGCACGTTACCAGGGAGATGGATTGGAATTAGCACGGCCAGAACTGGAACTGGCACCTGTATGGGATACCAGCAATGCAAGTGGAAGATTAATTTCAAATACATTCTATTTTCTTTCTTTCTTGTGTGTTTTATGCAACACTTCCTCAGAGGGCTCCTGGCTTCGGATCAGCACAGCTCCAGCCAAGGCAATCACTGAGGGAGTGAATCAAATAATGGTTGATCTTCTCTGTCTCTCCTCCTCTCTGTATATCTGACTTTGTCATAAAAATAAGTAAATCTTTAAAAAAAGAGGAGAAGAGACAGATAAATAAATAAATCTTTTTTTTAAAGCTTTATTTTTATGACAAAGTCAGATATACAGAGAGGAGGAGAAAGAGAGGAATATCTTCCATCCAATGGTTCACTCCCCAAGTGACACAATGGCCAATGCTGAGCCAGGAGCCAGAAACTTCTTCCAGGTCTTCCACAGAGGTGCAGGGTCCCAAGTCTTTGGGCCTTCCTTGACTGCTTTCCTAGGCCACAGCATGGAGCTGGATGGGAAGTGGCCTTTGGGATCAGAACCAGCGCCCATATGGGATCCGGGCGTGCAAGGCGAGGACCTTAACCACTGCACCACCGCGCCGGGGCCCCCCAATTTTTTTTTTAAAGATTTATTTTTATTTTTATTGGAAAGGCGGATATACAGAGAGGAGAGACAGAGAGGAAGATCTTTCGTCCGATGATTCACTCCCCAAGTGAGCGCAACTGCCGATGCTATGCCAATCCGATGCCAGGAGCCTCTTCCGGGTCTCCCATGCAGGTGCAGGGTCCCAAAGCTTTGGGCTGACCTCAACTGCTTTCCCAGGCCACAGGCAGGGAGCTGGATGGGAAGTGGGGCCACCGGGATTAGAACTGGCGCCCATATGGTATCCCAGGGCATGCAAGGCAAGGACCTTAACCACTGCGCCATCGTGCCGGGGCCCCGCCCCAAATGTTTTTAAAAGTAATAAAAATATATCTTAAAAATTGTAAGAGATGTAAGAAATTCTGCTGAATGTCAGCCATTAAAAGTATATTGATTTTAGGAAATATTCTTAATCATTTTGTTACTACTACCATTAATAGTAACTTTGATTGAGCAGATAACCACTGGGAGACCTGGAAGGAGTTCTAGTCTCCCAGTGTTAGTCTGGCCCATCTCCAGCCAGCCAGTGTAGATATTCAAGTATTTGAGGAGTAACACTAAACCAAACATCTTTATATCTCTCACTTACTTTATCTTTCAAATAAGTATTTTTAAATTTAGAAAAATGCATTGTGAAAGTAAATTACTTTGTTAAAAAGCTTTCATATTTCTTATTCCCTCGCTCTCTTCTTTTCCTACCAAAAAATTGTTTTTAGATTTCCCTTTGCCTTCTTTGCTCCTCTTCTAATTTTCACCTTAGCTGTGACCTAAATCTGGTTTGTGGTCGGTTAAGCCATCTTTAATTCATTTGCCATCTGGTCTCCTTCTGGCTCCAAAGCACAAGGTTTTATCCTCTGATAATTTATCCTGCAGGAAATCTTCATACAATTAATTGGCACAGTGTTTTTCTTATATTTCACTATTGGAGCTCATTGTAACTATTGCAGTGGAAACTGATCATTTCAGCAAAAATCTATAAAAATTCTATTTGATAAGCCTGGGCCAAAGTGTTTCAAATATGAAATTGTATTTCATGTAATATGTGAGGAGTCAAGGAGATAGGAGACACTTAGGGTTTTTCTGGTACCCAAGTTAATTTTTCCAAATATAGTATTGTATTTTTTTCCCCATGTCTTAACTTCCCAACAGCATGTTTTTCTTCTTTTTTTTTGGAAGTTTTTTAAAAAAGATTTATTTTATTTTTACCAGAAAGTCAAATATACAGAGTGAAGTAGAGACAGAGAAGAAGATCTTCCATCCAATCATTCACTCCCCAAGTAACTGCAACTGCTGGAGCTGAGTCAGTCTGAAGCCAGGAGCCAAGAGCCTCCTCCAGGTCTCCCGCACAGGTGCAGGGTTCCAAAGCTTTGGGCTATCCTGCACTGCTTTCTCAGGCCAGAAGCTGGAAGCGGGATGGGAAGTGGGGCTGCTGGGATTAAAACCAGCCTCTATATGGGATTCAGTTCATGCAAGGTGAGGACTTTAGACAGGACCCCAGCATGTTTTTCAAGGACACCCTTTCTCCTTGACAAAGGGTCACAATTAACATATCAGTTCACCATTTGGAAGTGACCTCCTCCTAATCTCCTTACTGAATCACCATCAAGGAGATAGTGCCTGAATTATCAGTTTATCATTAAAATGGAAAGAGGGGACTGGTCACAAGTTCTAATCCTGGCAGCCCTGCTTCCCATCCAGCTCCATGCTTGTGGCCTGGGAAAGCAGTCGAGGATGGCCCAAAGCCTTGGGACCCTGCACCCATGTGGGAGACCTGGAAGAAGTTCCTGGATCCTGGCTTCAGATCGGTGCAGCAACGGCCTTTGTGGTCACTTGGGAAGTGAATCATCAGACAGAAGATCTTCCTCTCTGTTCTCCTCTCTGTATATCTGACTTTGTAATAAAAATAAATCTTCCAAAAAAAAAAAAGGAAAAAGGAAGTTAACCAGTCCAACCTTCTGAGTTTCTTTGTTTCAGAGCCAGGTGTTGTTGAGAACAAATTCTTTCCTTTGTCCTTCTATAACTTCCCTGAGATATGGATGGCATGAAAGACCCCATTTGGGATATGGCATGGTAACCTGGTGGCTGAGGTCCTCACCTTCATCATGCTGGGGTCTCATATGGGCATCAGTTCTAATTCCGGTGGCCCCACTTCCCATCCAGGTTGCTGCTTGTGATCTGAGAAAGCAGTGGAGGAGAGCCCAAACCTTGGGACCCTGCATCCTTGTGGAAGACCTGGAGGAGGCTCTAGGCTCCTGGCTTCAGATCAGCTCAGTTCCGACTGTAATGGCAGTTTGGGGGAATGAATCAATGGACGGAAGATTTTCCTCTCTGTCTCTCCTCTCTATGTATCTGCCTTTCCAATAACAATAAAATAAAATGTTTAAAGAAGAAAGACCCTATTTCCACCTTACCATGTGTTTTTTGTTGTTGTTGTTGTTTAAGATTTATTTTTATTGCAAAGTCAGATTTACACAGAGGAGGAGAGACAGAGGAAGATCTTCCATCTGATGATTCACTCTCCAAGTGACCACAATAGCTGGAGCTGCACCAATCCAAAACCAGGAGCCAGGAGTTTCTTCCGGGTCTCCCAAGTGCGTGTTGGGTCTCAAGGCTTTAGGCCATCCTCGACCTCAGGCCACAAGCAAGGAACTCGATGGGATTAGAACCTGCACCCATATGGGAT